GACTCTGGACTCTTCTAATGGCTGCCCATTTAATTTTTCTAAAGCCAACAATCTTAACTTTTTGTAAACCGACTAACAAGTACAGCCCCTTTAAATGCACAAAAGACCCTAAACATGCTTAAATATCATCTAACAACATAACTTTACAATAATACAACATAAGCCCAAAAGTAAAATACAAAAAACTACCCATTAAAGAATTGGGTTTATAAAACTAACATCCCCACTTAAACCCAATTCCTTGGGTTCTCATGCCAAGCATCATTTTCAATCTTCCAAACACATCATGTTTTAATGGCTTCGTAAAAATGTCGGCAACTTAATCTTGAGTCTTGCAATGCACCAATTTCACTTCTTTATTCTTCACATGCTCTCTAATAAAATGGTAGCACGTGTCAATGTGTTTACTCCTCTTATGGAACACTAGATTCTTCGCCAATGCCATCGCCGATCTATTATCAACAAGGATCTCCATGAGAATTTCTTGAGAAAATCCCAAATAATTCAACAAGTACCTCAACCAGATAGCATGACACACAGTAAAATTTGCCGCCACATACTCTACTTCACACATAGACAAAGTAACAATTGCTTACTTCTTGGATGACCAATAAAAGTCGTATCTCCCATGAAAAAACAATAACCCGAGGTACCTTTCCTTTTATCCAAATTTCCACCCCAATCACTATCCGAATATCCAACAAGTCTATAATCATTAGTGCAAGAATAAAATAAGTCATCATTGAGTTTACTTCTAACATAACGTAAAATCCTCTTCGCCACACTAAGATGAGTTTGATCCAGTGTTTCCATGTATCTACTAATTAAGCCAACTCCATAAAAAATGTTCGGCCTTATGTAGGTAAGGTACTGAAGACTTCTAACTAAACTTTTAAAATAAGTTGGATCAACATTTCCATCACTAATGCTCTTCTTCAATTCCAATCCAATTTCTACGGGTGTGTTCACTAGGTTGCAAGAATCCTTCTTGAACTTCTTGAGTATTTCCTTTGCATAACTACTTTAAGAAATAAAAATTTCATTTTTACTTTGCTTAACCTCAATGCCCAAGAAATGAGACATTAAAACCAATATCGGTCATTTTAAACTCCTTAATTATACTTCTCTTGAATTCATCAAACATCATTGGATCATTGCCGGTGAAGATCAAGTCATCAACATAAAGACAAACAAGTAGTATACTTTCATTGCAACTCATCTTCATATATAATGCATGCTCATAAGGACACTTTTGAAAACTATTCTCACGAAAGTATTTATCAATTACAGCATTCCATGTGTGTGGTGCTTGCTTTAATCCATAAAGAGTTTTTCTCAACTTGTACACTTTATCTTCATGTCTCTTTTTCAAGTACTCCAAAAGTTGCTGAACATAAATCTCCTCCTCAAGAAATTCATTCAAGAATGCCAATTTTACATCAAGTTAGTAAATCTTCCACTTGTTTTGTGGTGTCGAAGAAATCATCAACCAAATCGTTTTCAAACAAGCAACGGGAGCAAATATCTCACAATAATCAATTCCAGCCCTTTGCTTGTAGCCTTTAACAACTAACCTCGCCTTGCATCTTTGGACTTCACCATTTGCATCCTTCTTAGTTTTATATACCCACTTCACACCAATTGATTTATGACCTTGGGAAAGACAAACTAGTACTCATGTATCATTCTTTTCAATTGCCTTCATTTCTTCATCCATTGTTATTCTCCATTTCTCTTCTTGAATCGCTTCTTCAAACCATAAAGGATCACAATCCATGAACAAACAAAACAAATTCAAGTTACCTTCAATATTTTTTGTAGATTCATAAATCTTTTGCAAACTTCTGATTTTTCTTGGTCTTTCATTTGAACTAGAATCCGATAATGATGGTGATGATGATTCACCAGTAGAAGGTGAAGGGGATCCATGTGGAGGTGTTTGTGGCTCTCTTTGAACTTTTCTTAGTTTTTCTGACTGTTCTTCTTCAAACATAAGTTCCACTTCGGTGGCTAAAATTTTTCTTCCCAATCTCATATGTCTTCCTCTTCAAGATTACATTTCTAGTCATGATCACTTTCTAGGTAATGGGGTTGTATAACTTGTACCACATTATTCTGTTACCATACCCAAAAAAAATGCACTTTTCACTTTCATCATCAAGTTTTGTCCTCCTTGTTTTGGGAATCTTCGCATAAACAATACATCCAAAAACTCTAAGATAGGCTACACTAAGCTTGAATGAACACCAAGCTTCCTCTGGGGTCTTGAAACAAACACTCTTGGTTGGACATCGATTCAACAAGTACACCGCATATGCTATGGCTTCGGCCCAAAATTCTCTAGGCAATCTCTTTCCTTTCAACATGCTTCTAGCCATATCAAGAATAGTCCTATTTTTCTTTTCCGCAACTCCATTCAACTGAGGTGTGTAGCTTAGCGTGAATTGATGCACAATTTCATACTCTTTGCAATAGTCTTCAAATAAATCAGAACTATATTCACCACCTTGATCAGATCTCAACCTCTTGATAAAATAACCACTTTGCTTCTTAATAAGATTCTTGAACTCCTTAAAAACTTCAAACAATTTGGACTTCTTTCTTAAAAAATACACCAAAGTCTTCCGACTATAATCATCAATAAAAGTAAGAAAGTAGCGATTCTTACTATTTGACATAGGCTTCAAAGGACCACAAATATCGGTGTGCACAAGTTCCAAGGGTCGTGATGCTCTCCATTTGACTTCTCTTGAAAAGCTTAATATGTTATGCTTATCAAGAATACACCATTCACATAACTCATTCGGATGATCTATGTAGGGTAGACCCTTCACCATTTTCTTACTAGATAAAAGCTTCAAGCCACCAAAATTAAGATGTTTAAGTCTAAAGTGTCACAACCAAGAATCATCTTTAATAATAACATTCAAACATCTCATAGCATCATGTTAAATATTCGAATGAAACATTCTTTTCTTGGACATTTTCACATTAACAATCAAATTACCACGAGTATCTTTAATTGTAAGGTAAAGATTCTTCATGCTAATATCATAACATTTTTTTAAAAGTTGTCTCAAACTCAAAATATTATTCTTTATATCCGGCACATAATAGACATCAAAAAGAAAATCATGATTTTTGTTCTTGAGCTTAATAAGAATTTTACCTTTGTCTTTCACCAGAATGTTGGAGGAGTCGCCACAAATAACTTTGTCTTGCGCCAATTTCTATAAACATACGCTTCTTGCCACACATATGATTGCTTGTCCCGGAATCAAGAAACCTCACGTTGTCATTATCTTCCTCGGATCCATCATAGGCCAATAACAAAGTAGATCCCGCTTTATTACTTGCTTTTTCGGCATAATTCACATGTTCTTCAACACCTTTATTTGCACTTGCCCAACACTCATTGCTATAATGCCCAAACTTGTGACAATTGAAGCATTCAAAATTTCTCTTGTCAAAACATTGATTGTTGTAATTGCCTCTTGCTCTTCCTCATCCTCTAACTCTTGAACCATAAAAATTTTAATTTGTTGCATTATTAGTGAATTGACATTTTCCTCCTCTACCTCTATTAGTATAATAGCCTCTTCCACGACTTTTGTAGCCTCTTCCTCGATTGCCAATACCTCTACCTCTACCTCGTGTTCCATAACATCTTCCTTTTTGAAATGTACTACCTTAAAATTCTATTTTTTCATCTTTCAAAGAAAACTCAGATTGGAGAGCTTGTTCAGGAGAACTTGAAGTCCTCTTATTAATACATTACTCATATATTTCCAATGTCGCCATCAATTCATCGACGCTCGTAGTCTTGAAATCCATGAATTGCTCAACGACTACAACATGTTTAAATTTTTGGGATTAAGGTTCGTAGCATTTTTTCCATAATTCGAACATTATCAATATCTTTTCCATACCTTTGCATTTGATTTACAATCACCAAAGTTTTTGAAAAATACTCCGAAATTGACTTGACTCCATTCATATTCAACCCTTCAAATTCACTTCGCAATATTTGATAACAAACCTAAATTGTTTTATCGATGCCTCTATGCATATTCTTCAAAATTTTCAAGCTTGCTTCGAAGTGATGGTAGAAGAAATCTTCTCAAAAGTGTTATAGTCAATACATTGGTAAAGTAGGAATAAAGTCTTCTTATCCGTCTTCCTTGATTGCTTAAGCACCGTCTTTTGAGCATCATTAAATGTTTGCTCCTCCTTCGTAGTCGGCTCGTTGTAACCTTTTTCAATAATTTCTCAAAGGTTTTGTAATTGAAACAACACCTTAATTTGAATACTCCAATTTCCATAATTATTTTCACATTACTCATGGTGGCTATAGTTTTTAAAAAACACAACAACAAAAAACCCAAAATAGCAAACCCTAGGTTCAACAAAAGATCTCAAATTTCATAACGTTGCTCTAATACCAATTTTGTTGGGTATTGGAAGCAAATTAGGTCGCCAAAGAAACACAAAATCAAGACCCAATACACGAAATCAATGGCTGAATTTCTGCTAAGTGTATCACAATAATTTCAACACAAAATCAAGTAAAACAGGGACAAAAAATCTGCTACACTACCACACCAATTCCACTCAAGAGACACATCTATATTTCATCAAAAATGATTACAATATCAAGCAATACAAAGAGAAAAACTATTCTGATTTTTCCAGCAAGAAAAACACAAAGTAAGCTATCAAAAAACACACAAACAGAACTTCTGCTCAGGAGACACCTGCTGAGTTTTTGGACAACTAACTCCCTGTTTTTCCTACATGATTTTTCTACCAACACCTCTCTTTTCTTCTCTATTTTTCTGGACAGAATCCTCTCTATTTTGGACACCAGCTCTTTGCTTTTTATACTATGTTTTTCATAATGTAAACCGACTTCAGTGAGCAGCCTTCATCGGTTCCTTCTCACAGTAGAAATCGGCTTCCATGTTGCCGTGCACAAACAAACTTCCTCATGACTCTGGACTCTTCTAATGGCTGCCCCTTCAATTTTTCTAAAGCCAACAATCTTAACCTTTTATAAAATGACTAACAAGTGCTGCCCCTTTAAATGCACAAAAGACCCTAAACATGCTTAAATATCATCTAACAACATAACTTTTCAATATTGCAACATAAGCCCAAAAGTAAAATACCAAAAACTACCCAGTAAAGAATTGAGTTTATAAAACTAACAAATTTGTACAGGATGTTGAGTCCAAATGATTTGATTTAAAGGTTTTGGCAGCAAATAAATGACAAACTTCTTAATGTGTTTTATGTTACAATGGACATTTAACAGGGCTGCTAAGCTAGAAGTGAGGTTGGAATGGATGGAGAATGTAGTGAAAACCATAATGGGCCCAATCCCAGCAATCAAGTTCGAAAAGACGCGGCAGCGCAAGATTTGGTTCAACAGCATGGTGTTTGCTTACGCAGGCTGGGAAGATGCAAGAAATAATCCTGTGAAAGCAGTCACCTTTGGGGATGGAAGCCCCTTACCAGGTCATATCGTATATGACTGCCTGAAAATACTTGACGAGGAAAGCGTTGCCATACCTTGGCAGCAAGGTGACATTCTGCTGGTGGATAATTTGGCAGTTTTACACTCTCGACGGCCTTTTAACCCTCCTCGCCGCATTCTAGCTTCACTCTGCAAGTAGAGGAGATGCAGGCCCTATTCCCATCTACTGGTTGTGCTTACTTGATAACCGGCCTTCTACAACGGATAAAGAGTATGGGGTCTGCCTTATTAAAACCCTTCCTCTAAAGATGTATATGGTTTACCAAAATAAATTTTCAGTTTTAATTGGAATTCCCTTTTTTTTTCTTGCAAAATTCTGTTGCAACACAATGGTACAACTTTTGTGAGTGGCTATTATTGATATTCTTATTTTTCCAGTCTCCAAAAGTGTAAAACCTGAGACAAGCTATTGACTAAATGTGGTGCAACAACTTGGGATGAATTGGAGGTTTAGTGGGACAACTTTGCCAGTTTGGACCTCTTGCACACAGTTGCAGAAAGTGTAACTATTATGGATAAGAATATATAAACTACAATAGCTCGGAATCAAGATGAAAGTTGGATAGGGACAGGAACTCACCCGCGACACACACTCACCCGGAATCTCTCTCCTCAAGCCCTAATTTAATATGCCAATTCATGTGTTTGAAGGTGTTGGATCTTTGTATTCAAGTTCGTTACTTTGATATAATTTTTAGCATAACATGTGTTTAATGAAATATCTCCATGACTTTCTTTGGATTTGATTATGTGTATATGGATTTGAGCAGATTGGAAGGTTTTTCTTTATAGGAACCACCAAAGTGCACTTGGAAATTAGTTGTTTCTTGGAAGGGCCTTCGATATCCTCTGATTTTTTTTATTTTTTTTGTGTGCCTATTAGTTTCTAGTTATATTCTAAACTACCATTGTTGTTTCCAGTTACAAAACAATTTGTATTTCTACATTGTTGATGTTATAATTTTGCAGACTTTAGCATCTCTCCTGACCATGTAACCACTGTTTAGCTGGATTTTTCCAAATTGCCTGAAAATATGACTTTATCCCCATGTCTTTTGATGAAGATTTGCGGCTTTCTTGCTTTCAAATTTCTTTTTAAACCAATCCTGCATCATATTTATAACTAAAGACAAACGAATTGTGAAATCTTAGATTGCCACTATTTAGTATCAAATTTCTGCTCATAAATGATCATGGATGTGAGGTGGCTTTTTTGCTTCTGGTACAGGCATGGGCATTTTCCTTTGATAACCGAGCAGAGAGACTGAGTCAATGGGTCACTGGTTCAACCGTTAGATCATATGTCGAACTGATCATATAATAAAAAATAAATAATAATAAATAACTAAAAAATCACAATAATTATGATAATAGCAGCAAACATGTATATAAAGTTAAATAGAGAAAAATTATTAAACATGTATCCAATGCATTTATTTTCTAATACAATTTGTAAATCTAAAGTTAAGTACAAAAAAAATACCTCTATTTAACTTGCAAGACTCCAAGTCCAAGTCTCCGACTATGCATCAATCATTCAATCCAAGCATAATCCATGTAATTTGTTATTTTCAACTAAATTATAATAACAATAAGCATTAAATTATATCCTTTGTTTGGTTCAAAAAATATAGTAACAACAAGAACTACAATTGCTAAAACAAATCATAAAAATCCAAGTTACTCAAATTTGACCTCGTTTCAACAATTTGGCTTGAATCACACACAACTTAGATCAAAAATGACAAACCTAATTAGTAGATTAGGGCATATGGCCATAATCAGACTCAGAACGAGATGCCACAGGGAAACCACTTCCTTCTCAAACCAAATTAGTAAATTTGTAGATTTGACACTAAGCTTCTCAAACCACCATATGATTCCAAAATTCAACCCTATATGCCGCAGGTAAACCAAAAGCTCTCATAACAGAGATAACGACGGAAAGAGAGAGAGGGGGAGAGAGACTGAGAGAGAAAGAGTAGTGTACCTGCTGTCAATGGTTATCGACGGCTCGATGCTTCAATGGAATGGAGCTTTGAAGCCAGCTTCATCCTTTGCTTGCTCACAGCGGCAGAGAGAGNACTCCAAAATTCAACCCTATATGCCGCAGGTAAACCAAAAGCTCTCATAACAGAGATAACGACGGAAAGAGAGAGAGAGAGGGGGAGAGAGACTGAGAGAGAAAGAGTAGTGTACCTGCTGTCAATGGTTATCGACGGCTCGATGCTTCAAAGGAATGGAGCTTTGAAGCCAGCTTCATCCTTTGCTTGCTCACAGCGGCAGAGAGAGAGAACAGAGATTGAGAGAAGAAACTCAAAAGAGGTAAAAAGACATTGTCGATTTAGGGCTGTCGAAGAGAAGAGGACTCACAGAGAATAGAGACAGTCGCAGGCTCACAGCGGCTGATCGATCGTTGCGAAGAGAAGAGACAGTGGTTGGCTTCGACTCGGTGACCAACGTTTTTCGATCGACTTGGGTACCAGATCAGAAACTGGAGTGAGATGTGAGAGACTACCGTCGAGTGTCGATTTAGGGCAAAATGCCCAAAACTCAACCTTTTATCCTAATATGACTGACCCGGCTGGTTTAATTCAACTCTCCCAGTTTAAACGGTTCAGCGATTTTTCACCGGTTCATCGGTCCAGACGGGTTTGGTGCATAAGCGATCCAAAAACTGAACTGGTCCGGTTTAGACATGGGTTACTAAGATAGCAAAGTCATGGGTTAGCTTTGTTATTAAGATAACTTTTATTATTTTGTATTTAAAGATTTTCTTATAAATAAAATAAATATTTTGAATATTATATTAAACTTTTTTTTGAAGTTTTGAATATAGGTGTTTTTTGAATTAGACCATCAGAGATTCCTCCTTCGAAGTAGGTACTTTATCTCATATTCTATTTTACTTTTATTTTTTAGAAATTCGAAAAGAGTGCAAGTAACACAGGAGGGGTGGGTGGCATTGTTTCAAAATAGCAACTCCAAAGTGGTAGATTAAGGTTGTGAGGTAGTAGCTGATTTTTGGGATTCTATTTCTAGGAGAGTTTGGCTGGTGATTTGGAGGATGATGCTTGGAAGCTTTGGTTTGGGGGTGGATTTGTATGGTGGTTTTAGTGAATGATTTTTGTATGACAATTTTGAATGAAGATCTATGGGATGACTTTTTAGTGGTTGATTGTGACTTTTTAGTGGTTGATTGTGACATTGCTCTCAGAAAAAATAAAGGGTAAATGACCACTTCTTTGTATCTCTTCCCCCTTTATTTGTATTTTAGATGATAAAGGGTGAATTTGGGGACGTAACTTGGGTGTGATGGTGGTAGTGCAGTGGTGGTGATGGCCGGGGGTGGCCTAACAAATTTGGAGACCTTAGGCAAGAATATGAAGCGAGGCCCAANGTAAAGGACCACTTCTTTGTATCTTTTCCCCCTTATTTGTATTTTAGATGATAAAGGGTGAATTTGGGGACGTAACTTGGGTGTGATGGTGGTAGTGCAGTGGTGGTGATGGTCGGGGGTGGCCTAACAAATTTGGAGACCTTAGGCAAGAATATGAAGCGAGGCCCAATTAATAGACAATAATTATTAAAATATATTCATTTAAATACTATTTTTCTAGCTTTTTGAGATGCAAAAATATTGATTAAATTTTTATATTCAAGTTTTGTTAATAGATATTTTTCAATAAATAATATAGTTAATCCATTAAATATTTCTTGTGACATAGTTGATCGGAGATAAGATTTTATTAATTTAAGTTTTCAAAAATTTCCCTCTGCTGAAACAATTTTTATCAATATTCTAAAAGTTATACATGCATTTCAAAAAGNTAATGTTAATAGATATTTTTCAATAAATAATATAGTTAATCCATTAAATATTTCTTGTGACATAGTTGATCGAAGATAAGATTTTATTAATTTAAGTTTTCAAAAATTTTCCTCTGCTGAAACAATTTTTATCAATATTCTAAAAGTTATACATGCATTTCAAAAAGAATCTAAACGTTTTATATAAGTTATGGTTTCGGCAATCAACTATCAAGATTCAAACATTTAAGTTTCTATCAAAAAAGGAGACATTCTAAATCAACAATAATATCAAAATATGAAATCAACATATTAAAAATTCTAAGCACACCAAACTTCTAAATTTTTTTATAAAATTTCTAATAAAAAATGAAAGAGCAATTAAATAAACCAGTTTATTATAGTAGATTGAGCCCAACAAATTTTGACCCTTGAATCTTGATCACTATCAATTAAATGAAGGGTTTTTGAATTACAAGAGATTAGAGAATAGAGAGCTTTGGTGTTCTTTCTTTGTTCAAATTAGACTTCACACTTCATAGAGAGAGAAGGAGAGGGCATGAGGGAGTGGCGTTAANAAAGAGCAATTAAATAAACCAGTTTATTATAGTAGATTGAGCCCAAAAAATTTTGACCCTTGAATCTTGATCACTATCAATTAATTGAAGGGTTTTTGAATTACAAGAGATTAGAGAATAGAGAGCTTTGGTGTTCTTTCTTTGTTCAAATTAGACTTCACACTTCATAGAGAGAGAGGGAGAGGGCATGAGGGAGTGGCGTTAAACAGACACTGTGGTTTGTAAGTGAATCCCGTAAAGATAGCAGTTGATAAATTTGTGCGAGAGAGGTAGAATGATATAAGGAGATTTGCTTAATTCCTTCAAAGATGAGAGAGAGAGAGAGATGTAGTCATTTACCTTCCTTGTTTCAAAAGTTTAGCAATCTACTATAGCTATCAAGTGAAGCAATTTTCTAGGTAAATTGTTGAAGTATTAATAGACATATCAATAAAATTTAGACCCTCTCAAAGCAGCCCATCCAAAAGACTTGTACCCATAATTAAAACTCTTAACAAGGGGCCCCCAAATTTTGCAAAAATTGGGGCTCCTAAGAGGCCAATTAAGTGGCCTAGGCTTAGGGCCGGCCCTGGTGATGGTGGTGGCATGATGCATTGTATTGCTCTATCTTGTGGCAGCAATGGTGATGATAGTGGCATGCTGCTAGGTGTTTGTTTGTATGGTGGCGGTGATTGACAATTATCACACAGGATTGAGATTATGGTTGTAGTGGATATCATTGCTGCTGGGGATGGTAGTGGAGGGAAG